TTTTTTTAAAAAAAGTATGATAGCGTGTTTTATTTTTTTATTTTATTTTTTATAAAAAAAAACCATCCCCATTAGTGAATTTTGCAAAACGAAAAAAGAAAAGAAAAAAGGGAGAGGAAAAAAAGAGAAAATTAAAAAATAACCCACCACTATTCTATCCTACAGATAAAGTCGGTGAAATGGCTCTAGCATCTTTAAAAAGAGTTTGCCCCAAAAAAGCATGCCTAGGGAGTCATTGTGACAGTGCAAAATACATTTATGTACATCCCTCTTACAAAAACACCAATATGTTAGCATTCCGGGAAGCATGCTAGTTTTCAGAAATTCTTCCCCCTATAACAGAGTGAAATAGCAGCTCCGAAAGATAGCTTTTTTTTCTCCTTTTCTTTTCTTCAGGACAAATGAAAAAAAGAGGGGGAATTCTTTTCTCTCTTGAACTACTAGAGAAGTATCACTACTACAGACAGATATAAAAGCAGCATAGAAAGTTACAGGTTTCTCACCTACTAGTAATAAAGAAGACTAAATGTGAGCATGGTTAACTACAATGCATTTTCACATTTGTCCCAACACATTTACAAGAAAAAACACCATTGGGAAACCTCACAGGACAGAAGTGTTTTAACACCAAGAGAACTACTAGATTTTCCCCCCATTTTAAATATTTCTTTTTCAATTAAAATCCCAGACAGGACGAAATGGAAAGAATTTGGAAGGGTTCTGGAGCTGGAGCGACCATATTCTCATTGTCATTAATACAAAAACGAATGAGGTGGAATAGACTCGATTGTCTTACTCTGTGAAACCTTGTAAAAAAAGAGAAGAAAATTTGAAGAGGGTAGAAGCAGCTGGTTGGCATTGCAGCTGCCAAAATGCTAATTAACTGCAGACTGTATCCTTATTTCTGTACTAAAAGGGGGAAAACCCACAAAAAACCAAAACCAAAACAAAACAAAGAACGGAAAAGAAGAGGCGCTGTTTGTATGATGGCAATTTCCCCCCCTTTGCTGCTGTTTTAAGTCCTACATCCCACTGCAAATCATCTTCCATTTTTCATTCTGTTGACCTGGATATTATTATTTCACTCAGAAACAAGAAAAAAAATGAACATCTGTGTCTCCTTCCAATCTGCTGCACATCTGCGTGTTTTTGATGCGGGTCTTCAGAGTTCAGTCAGTAACCCACGGACGCTATTCATCTTCTTATTAAAATGTCTGCTGCTTTATCCAATGCTCATGCCCTTGAGGGTTTTTTTCCCCTTTCTTTCTTTCTCTCTCGTTCTCTCTCTCTCTCTCTCTTGCATTAAAAAAAATCCATTATTGTTATAAAGAACATTGTGACTTTATATTATTAGCATTTTTGCTTTCAACAGCAATTAGCAATCTCTTGGTTTGCTGTTTGGTAAAGCATCTATTAATGAGGTCATCTAGTTTAAAATCCCAGCTACTGGAAAATAACAGGGAGGAGGTCAAATCTATCATTTTGTGTGTGTTAAATTATCTGCTCTTCTCAGTTTCCTAAAGAAAAGACATCTTTGTTATACACAAGAAGTCACTGTGACCCGTTACTGGCCTTCTGGTTTTTTTTTTTTACATCTACCTCAAGATACAAGTTCTCTTGTAGTATTGAAATCTGACAGTTTTAGTAAAAAAATTGAGCATCTGAGGATGAGGATTTTTGTTTTGTTTTGTATTTTGCTTGTTTTTGTCTGAAGTAGTTCTGTGTTCAGTCTTAGCGAGGAGTTGTTTCTATGGTGGATGGAGTTCCAGGGGTGGTTGACCTAGGAGTAGCTGCTGGTGGTGTGTCAATGGGGCTCCCGGCTCCACTGTTAGGTGTTGCGGATGAGCTGACTGCTGGTGTCTCTCCTTGCTGCTGGGCCTGAAGTGTCTGTCCACAGATGTGGTGATGTTTCTCCCAGTCCTTATGCTGACAAAAGGAGCCACAGTATCGTGCTGTATTGCATCCACTGCAGGTTTCACTAGCTTTACGGCCACAGTTCCAGCAACTCTGTAGAAGAAATATTAAAAAATAGAGAGAGATGGCGAGAAGTCAATCATACGGCTGGAGTTTCAATAGCACTTTAATTTACAGAACCATCTTTGTACTGTAGTGATTTGAGTGTTGGATTAGATCTCTGGGAGATCAAAGTTTAGGACATCACTCAGCCACAAACCCCACTGGATGACCTTGAGCAATTGTCTATAACATGGTTTCCATAAGTTGGACTCACCTTTGAAGGGCTATAACAACAATGACAATACTTATTAACTTTCTCTTGGTTTAGGTAAAGATTCTGGCACACATGGTGCAATCCAAAGTGGGAGGTAGCTGGACTCCATACAAAGAGTAAGTATTTAGGGATTGTGGGAATAAAAGTTATTGTACATAGAAATATAAGCATCTCTTCACACAAGCCAGTCTTTCTGTTTGTCCATGTGACTCAGTATTGCCCACAGTGATTGACAGAAATCCTTCAGAATTTTAGATCAGAGCTTTTTTTCTTCTTCTACAAAATCTTTGTGAAAATGCCAAAATTGAATTGGAAACCTTCTGTATGCACACTAAATACTCTTGAGTATGTTTTTCACATTCATATAGGGTTTTCAGATTCCCTAAAATAAATACAATTAAAAATAAGAATAATTGGTAGCTGGAGCTTAATCCTTAAAATGATGTCAAGGTCCTGTTTTGGGTTGTTGTTAGAACTTCTGAAGAAGGAGGCATGCAATGCAAGTAATGTCCACTAGAAAGGTTCATGAAAGAGTATGCTGGACTCATGTCATTGGGGGAAACCCTAAATAAATGAAATCCTTCATGTTCACAATGAATAGAGTGGGATGCCGTAACTTCTCTGAAAAAAAAACCCCAAATAATATTTTGATTGATTCAGAAATCCTCACTAGTACAAAAGAGCTATGAGTCTCACCAAGACACATGTTTTGAGTAATACTATGTTCTCCTAGAGCAACGGTTCTCAACATGTGGGTCTCCAGGTGTTTTGGCGTACAACTCCCAGAAATCCCAGCCAGTTTACCAGCTGTTAGGATCTCTGGGAGTTGATGACCAAGACATTTGGGGACCCACAGGTTGAGAACCAATGTGCTAGAGGTATATGTACATTAGTACTTCTAGATGACTTTTTAAGCTACATACACATACAAATATTTATCCCTTTCTTGTCACAAGTTTTGTTGCTGTTACACCAACTTCAAATTATGATTGCAAGTATTTATTGGTCCACATGATATTTTTAATAGCTGAATTATCTCAGTTGCAGGTATAATTAATAGGCTCAAAGTAATTGGTTATTGTAACAGTTATAACCTTATAATGTAAGTTACTAATTTCCTTAACAGGAAGACATTGGTTATTATATATTTTAATAGTTTTTGTATGGATTTTATAATGTTTTTAATGTTTTAATTGTATATTGTGCATTGTTATGGCACCAAATTGATGCCAACATGTAAGTCGCCTTGAGTTGCCTTTGGGCTGAGAAAGGCAGGATAGAAATATCACAAATAAATAAATACATGATTGTTTCTCAAAGGCAACTAAACAAGTTAGATGTTTTAGTTACATTAAAGGCACCAAGAGACTCCTACCCTGAAGTAAGCAAATAGCATTAAAAGAGAGCCAAAGAGAGCCACTTATTTATTGCTTAATGTTTTTTTCTGTTTCAGACAGTAGAAATACATCAGTGGAGAACATTCCCTGTAGTCACATTACTCTTGCTAGGTGATTTAGAAGACATTAAAATATAACTTTAACAATGCAGTAATGAAAAGTTCAAGTTTAAGATAAAATTAAATAAAAGACTGGAATGGCAGGGGGTTGCACTGCATGGCCCCTGTGATCACTTCCAATGATATGATTCAAGTGATAAGTAAAAGTAGTAAAATCATTTTTTAAAATCCAATGTCTTTACAATTTTTATGTTCTGAAGAATATGTGAACTGTCCCACTGCTTAGCATAGACTTAAGTAAAAAAAGCTATTTCTTGAAAAAACTGCAGAAGGGCCTTAGCTTTCTCTCATTTGAAACCGAATGATAAAATTGGAAGCTATTGGATTTCTACTACAGTAAAGATGGGTGAATCTATAATTTGGTTTTATTTAATTTCTTGACAAACGAAATATGGCAAAAATCCATTAGACAAAAGATCCATGCAAACACTTTGTACACATTTCCCCTAACGTATATATTTGTATAAGTACGTTTCCTAGCACAGGGATTGTTTGAAAGCATTTCTCCCCAAAAGTGTTTCCTTTTATGTGCATTTTTATGTGAACAGTTTCCCAATGTGGTATTTGACTGCAAAAATTCAGAAAAGATTTCACCATGAATTCAACATGCCTATTTTGGTATACATTTAGCCAAAAAAAAAAATGGGGCTGTCATTTCCCCTGCATCCTGATAATGCAGGACAAGCCACCCCTCCCCTTTCTATTACAAAATGATCCTTTTTGAAATGCAAACTTTCATTCCCTACTTACATTTCATTTGAAATAACCCATTCCTTGTTAAAAAATGTAGCCAGCTGACGGCATCCTCCAGTTCTGCTCCCTTTCGCTCCCTGCCAAGTGGGAAGCCACCAGAAAGGATGCCTGCTGCTCACTTCCCTCCAGCTTTGCAATGCCAGCTGGAAGGCTGGAGCCAAGCCAGCCGATAAGTGAGATTCCTAAACTACAACAGAAATCCCAATTACCAGGAAAGAACAAAGACCTAAATCCAAAACACTGTTTTAAGGAAATTAAACATTTAATCGGAGTCAAGTGGCTTCTTTAGAAAACAGTCCCAGTGTTAGATTTACTCTCTCCTTTTTGGCACAGGAATGTTTTGGCAGATGCGAGAACAGTTAAGTGTCCAATACTCACTGCTCTCTCTCCCTCTCCCTCCCTGTTAGATTGAAATCAGATGTATGCAGCATTTCTAACTCAACTCATACTGATCAAGCATGCAGACTAAACCAGGTAATTACAAATGCATGAACCGTGGGTTGCTTTTTTCTTCTTCTGGCAAGTGTGGGGGATTTGCAAAAATTATTCCCATCTTTTAAAAACTCTTCTTAAAAGGTGGAATTACTAACACAGAGAAACAGATGGTTTATTTTAATGGTCAAATTGCTGGGAATACAGGCTCCTTGTCTATCATCAGCTGGTTTTGATTCACTGTCCACAATTTCAGGTTCATTCTGCTTACATTACATCTACAAAGACTGGAGAGGGCTCATCATCATTTTACACAGTATTTTAGTTTGGAAAGATAATCACAAGGAATCGCCCCCACCTAAGCGAAACTACAGCAATAGGATTATTCTGAGTTCAGTATGAAACTCATGACAAATGCTTGGGCTGCAGAATACCAAACAAGGCAACGGTGAAGTCGCTATTCATTTTAATGGGATTGTGCAAAAACTGTATATGAGTCTTGCTGAAATCAAATGCAGAGCTGGAACTAATCACATTTTATAACCAAATAAAATTCACTTCTCTGTCCCTGGAAACAAGCATATAGGTGAGTTAGCAGGAGTACAGATGCTGAATGCACCAGACATTCCAGAACCCAACCTCAAAGCTCAGACAGACTGTTCAGGACACAGTTTTGATGAATACTATAGCTTGATGGCATGCAGCTTGTTTAATACCTAGAATCTCAATTTTAAAGTATGAGATTGTGTATATGTACCTCAAAGTAACCTGTCAATGTATGCTGACCCAATGAATTTCCTAGGGATTTCTTAGGCAAGGAATACTCAGAAGTGGTTTTGCTGTTTTCCTCCTGAAGTGTGGCATTCAGTGTTTGCAGACTGTAGTTGATGCAAAAAAACCAACCACACAAGTTTTTTAAGGCAGGCACAATCCTTTTTTGGTTCATTTTGAGGATATCACTATTGTCTAGGGCTACTGTCAGCCTATTTTGTGTGTGTTGGTTGCCACAATAGCTATAAAAATGAGCGAGAAAGGAGCCCTGGAAGCCTCCCCTCCATACAATTACTTAACAAAATAGTAACGAAAAATGTGTTACTCTCATTATAGTAACGAATCTGACACTTATGATAATTTAGAAACACTTTAGAAACATCTCGCCAGCGCTCCCTAATTTTGTAATGAGTATTGAAACAGTTTTTCATCAATTGCACAGGCCTAGTGCTTAACTTTTGTTGGACCTAAGCTATGGTTTCTTCAAAGATCACGAGGAACAGTGGTGCTCCAGATGAAATTCTTGCTGTGGCACTTCCAAAAAACCAAAAAACAAAACAAAAAACCCAAACAACAACAAGAGCGCAATGTTTTGCTCAAACAGTTATATACTTTCCAGGCTATTTTCAAACAAAACTGTGCTTCTTTTAGGGAATAGTTAACCACAAGAACAGAACCTAAGAACATGTATGCCTCTATTTAAAGTTGTCATTTGTTTGCAGAGATACTTTCCTGAACTTGCTAATGAAACTGGGCTGAATAAGATCCAAGTTCTGCAATGAACAAATTGTATAATTCATCACCAGATTTCTTGGACAGAAGAGATTTGATTATGTTTAGCTATGTGTACCACAAATGCTTTATGTTCTAAGATGAGTTTTCTGCCATAAAAGATAAAACAATGTTTTTATCTGATGACTTTTGACCAATTTTGGGAGGATATAAACAAGTGGGTTTTGTGGCACCTTAAAGACTGCTATAATATTTCATTGCATAACAGTGCTTTGAGGACTCAAGTCTGTTTTTATTTGATGCATAAAATGTTCTTCTAAGTTGGCAAGTATTCAAGGAGAGGAATAAAAATGGTAAAGCAGTGATGTCAGTGAAATTCAGAAAGTAGGAAACTCCTACTAGCCACTGCAAGATCCTTAAGCAGTGCTTAAGATAATGCACATATCCAAGCACAGGCATGCAAATTAGAAAGGAATAGTACTTGTAATCTAACTAACATGTCATAAAGGCTAAGAAAATGGCATAGAGGAAAATTGGTCAATACTTTCACCCAGCTTCTTTCACTCTACCAAC